CCTGTCTCCTTCCATATCTCACGAAGGTCATAACATCAACTGTGCGGGTCACTTCCCTGCAAATGTCAAGGTATACAATATTCTGGTACGCGATTGTCCAGGACGCAAGTGTCCATTATGCAACTGTCCGTCTATCATATGTGCGTCTATACGTGTATGTTTCTCTGTGTCTATCTTTGATGGTCGTTCCTTGCCGTGGTGGATGGAGCATGCGTGATCCATTGACTCTGAGAACGATGCCAACTGTGGAACAAGCGGGTGATGATAACAGATCTCAACGATTGAACCAGCGGATGAAGAGGGCTACGCATAACGGACATGCTACAGAAGGCGTTATTCGAAATTATAACAGACTTAGCGGCAGTCCGTTGCAGTTTTATAACATGATTCTGTATGTCACATTCCATATATTTCTTTAACTCTGATTTTCTTTCACCTCCTACCAACTCTTGCAAAGCCAAATGGCCAGATGACGGAGGCAGGACTGGAAGCTTCTAGTTCTGAGCCTGCGCGTTGGAGGTCGATTTAGTCATCAACGCCGTCATCATAAAGGAAGCGATCAGCAACGAGGAAATTAAATTCTTGGATGCGACATAAAGCTGCCGTCAACGACGGCTCACTTAAGTTCAAATTTTAAAAAGAATATCTGCAGATGACAGATGAAAATACGTAACAAGGAAGAAGTCGAGTAAAAAAAGTACAAGGAAGAGGAGGATGCGGAGGAAGACAATCGAAAAATAAGAACAGGAGGAGGAAGTCAGGCAGAACCAGAAAGAGAGAGAAATGTGGAAAAAAGAGGAAGATATGAAACAAAGAAGGTAAGTCGTGGGCTATAAAAAAGAAAACGAAGGAGGAGGAGGAAGAGGAGGAAAATGGAGGAGGGAGGAAGATTAAGGAAGAAGAAAGAGGAAGAAGAAGAAGGATGAGCAGGAGGAAGAAAAAGAAAGAGGAAGAAGAAGGAAGAGTAAGAAGAAGGAGGAGAAGGAAGAAGGAGGAGGAGGAAGAAGAAAAACAACAGCAAAAGGAGAAGGAACAAGAAGTAGGAAGAAAAAGAAAGAAAGAAGAAGAAGAAGAAAAGAAGAAGAAGAAAGAGAAAGAAGAAGAGACAGAAGAAGAAGGAGGCGTAAGAAGAAGAAGAAGAAGAAGAAGAAGAAGAAGAAGAAGAAGAAGAAGAAGACGACGACGGAGGAGGAGGAGGCGTAGAAAGAAGAAAAAAAAGTAGAAAGGAAAAAGATGATGAAGAAGAAGAAAAAGGAGGGAAGAAAAAGAAAAAAGAAACAAAAAGAGGAAGAAGAAAAAAAAAAAGGAGGACGGAGGAGGAAAAAGAAAAGAAGAAAAGAAAAGAAGGAAGGAAGACGACGACGGAGGAGGAAGTAGAAAGAAAAAAAAAAGAAAGGAAAAATATGAAGAAGAAGAAAAAGGAAAAAAGAAAAGGGGAAGAAGAAAAAAAAAACGAAGGAAGAAAAGGACAAAAAAGGAGGAGGCAGAAGAAGAAGAAGAAAAAGTAGAAGAAAAATGAAGAAAGATGAAAAAGAAGAAGAAAGAAAGGAAGAAGGAGAAAAAGAAGAAGAAGAAGAAGGAAGAAGAAAAGAAGTGAAGAAGAAGAAGAAGAAGAAGAAGAAGAATAAGAAGAATAAGAAGAAGAAGAAGAAGAAGAAGAAGAAGAAGAAGAAGAAGAAATAGTAGTAGTAGTAGTCGGAGAAAGAAGGAGGAGAAAAAAGAAGACGAAGAAGGAGGAAGAAGAAGCGGAAGAAGAAGGAGGAAGAAGAAGAGGGAGGAGGAAAAGGAAAGAGAAAGGAGGAGGAAGAGGAAGAAGAAATAAAAAAATCATGAGAATAAGGCGATAATAAGAGGAAGAAAATGTATTATAAATATTGTGTGAAAAATTAGGGGAGTTGCTGCATCTTCCAGTCCCAGAATATTCACTGATATACCACGTCTTTAGAGTTGACTATGGCGAATCCTTGTCATCTAATCTTTTAAGTCCAATGAGGTTACAAACAGACAATATATATATATATATATATATATATATATATATATATATATATATATATATATAAGTGTGTGTGTGTTCGTGTTTGTGCGTATGGATTTAATAGGCGGGTTAATTAAATTTGAAGAATAAAAAGACTACAAAATAACAATATTGTCACTAGGAATGATGATATTTATTGTACGCTGTACGAGAGGTTACATTGTCGGCATTTTATATTTTTAATCTCGCGCATGCGCGATGTTCATTTTTGATTTTGTTCGCCTGCACCGTATAGTAAGATCAGTTGGGAACCGTCTAAGAGAAAAGGAGCATCATAACGCAATTCACTCCACCAGAAATTTGGAAACTGCATGCTGTACCGCTTGGCATTCGCGCTGGAAGTTTCAATACGAACATTTCAGAGTGTTTGGGTGTCAATCTTAGAAGAGTGAAGAGGATTCGGAAAGAGTTTGGTAAGTCTAAAGGTGATTACGAAGGCATTTAGAGTGATCACTAGTGATGGCGACGTTGTACCTCCATTAATCTCCCCACAAAGCCTCAGACTCTAGACGGAGGCGTACATCAAGCGCTTTGAGAGGGTAGTGCTGCTCTGGGTAAAGAGAGTGGCTAGCAACTGGACTATGCACCATGCCACACAAGAAGGAGAAACCAGTCATATCTGTCACACAATTTTTGCAACCACATCACCCCTTTCATCATAGGCACCTAACTGCAACACCCTTGCTTAATATGTGTGGGGTGAAAGAGCAACAAAAATTTCTTGTAACACCAAAGATGAATTGAAGGCTAGGATTATGGCAGCATCCATCTACTTAAACAAGGAGATCCTCCAGAAGAACCGCAGGAGATTCCAAAGTCGCCTGGAGGCTGCGTTTGAAGCCCTGATGATTTTATTTAAAAAAGTTCCTGTTTAGTATTTTCATTTATGTAATTTTAAGAAATATATCTAAAATGAGATATCAGTGTTATTTTCATTTTTTTTTTTTTTTTTGCATCATTTACACGACAATTTATCCATCGCACCCTGCATATCTGTTAAAATGAGATGTCAGTGCTATTTTCATTTTTTGTGTCATTTGGACGACAATTTATCCATCTCAACTTGTATATCTGTCAAAATGTGATGTCAGTGTTATTTTCATTTTTTGCATCATTTAGACGAGAATTTATCCATCGCTGCCTGTATATCTGTTAAAATGAGATGTCAGTGTTATTTTCAATTTTTGCGTCACTTGGACGACAATTTTCCATCGCACCCTGCATATCTGTTAAAATGAGATGTCAGTGTTATTTTCAATTTTGCGTCACTTGGACGACAATTTTTCCATCGCACCCTGCATATCTGTTAAAATGAGATGTCAGTGTTATTTTCAATTTTTGCGTCACTTGGACGACAATTTTTCCATCGCACCCTGCATATCTGTTAAAATGAGATGTCAGTGTTATTTTCATTTTTTGCGTCACTTGGACGACAATTTTTCCATCGCACCCTGCATATCTGTTAAAATGAGATGCCAGTGTTATTTTCATTTTTTGCGTCATTTGGACGACAATTTATCCATCGCAGCCGGTATTTTACTAGGCTTTTTACTAAACTGAACCATGAAGAAGAGATTTTTAAATCCTTTTTCAACGAAACGAGAAATAAACTATGAAGTCGGACTCACTTTTCTGGGGATTGTTGTTGTTGCTGTTGTTTATTTTTTCTTCGTGTGTTGTATTACTGTAAAAAAATTAATTTTGGTCTGGTAGTTTGTCAGCATTAGGGTCTTGGTGGGTTTGTAGAAGTCTCTCTCTGGAAACTGTATTCTCTGACTAAACCTAAACCATGTTTAATCCTTTAATGTGTGATTCTATTTGGTAAATGTAGTTTAACTCCGATTTACGTCTTTCTTGTTGGCTCTTAAAGGAAGAGACAACAAGCTACCAGGCCAAATCACATATCTTACAGTAATACAACAAATGAAATTGCGATGATTGCGATGGCTGCTATTACTATGATGATGATGATTGTGATGATTACGATAATTGACACTGTTGTCATGATGAATGTCAGGCTTGCTATTGTTTTTCTGTTTATTGTGATGATTGACATGATTGTAATTATGATGATGATAATAATAATGATGATGATTGTAATGATGATGATTGCTATTGTGATGATGATTGTGATTATTGCCATTGTGATTTTTATGACGTTTCTATTCTGATTGTATTGCGATGATTGCCATTGTTGTGATGATGATTACAATGTTTGTAATGATTGCCATTGTTGTGGTGATGATTGCGATGAGTGCAACGATTGTCATTTTTGTGATGATTGAAATGAGAGCGGTGATTGCTATTGTTGTGATGATGATTACAATGGTTGTGTTGATTGCCATCGTTGTGATGATGATTGCGATGAGTGCAACGATTGTCATTTTTGTGATGATTGAAATGAGAGCGGTGATTGCTATTGTTGTGATGATGATTACAATGGTTGTGTTGATTGCCATCGTTGTGATGATGATTGCGATGAGTGCAACGATTGTCATTTTTGTAATGATTGAAATGAGAGCGGTGATTGCTATTGTTGTGATGATGATTGCAATGGTTGTGTTGATTGCCATCGTTGTGATGATGATTGCGATGATTGCAACGATTGTCATTTTTGTGATGATTGAAATGAGAGCGGTGATTGCTATTGTTGTGATGATGATTGCAATGGTTGTGTTGATTGCCATCGTTGTGATGATGATTGCGATGAGTGCAACGATTGTCATTTTTGTGATGATTGCAATGAGTGTGATGATTGCCATTGTGATGATTTTGATAATTATTACGATAACTGCCATTGTTGTGATGATGTTTGTGATGGCTGTGCTGATTGCCATTGTTGTGATGACTATTGTAATGTCGGCGATTGTTATGATGTTGATTGTTGCGATGATTGCTAGTGTTGTGATGGATTGCATGCCTGTTTTAATGATAATGAATTTCAACATAATTGCAAATAATTGTGTTATCAGTATCAGTAATGATAATGACTGTGAGTCTTTTTTCTACACGCCGTGTCCCTTTACGACCGGGGCATTTAGGGCTCTCCACAGCTTCCTATATTTTGTAGCACTTAGTAAGTTTTGTCCTGATCTACCGCTCACTGTTCCGCCATCATTTTTACTCAAACACGTCTGGTAGCTTACTCGATATTTCTCTCTGTTCCTGTTACCTTCAAAATGTTCTGCGAGTGTCAAATTCTCGAAGTCTTCTTTCCTCATTATGAGTTCTAGAAGTTTCAGTTGTCTATTTCTGATTCTAAGTGTCCTTTTTTTTATTTCTACCATCCCTGACACTTCCTCGTTACTCACATGCTCAGTCCATGGTATCCTCACCAATCGCCTGTAAAAACCACATTGTAATGTTTCATCATCATGATGATCATTATCACTTTCTGTTGCAGGTTTTTTGTGTATATGTAACTAGTGAGCCAATCCAAATGCCTTGACTCGCTTTATAGTCCATCAATAGAAGGTTAACCAATCAGAAGACGTAGAATATTCAATCCGTCGTGTATAAAGGCGGCCATTTTTGTTTACTCTATCCGAATGTCCAGTACCAGCTTGTCAAGCGAAGAGAAACAGAAAGAAGAACTACGCTCTGCTACTTTTAACGCAATATCCACTGCTAACCTGAACAACGCTTTTCTACTGTCTTTGAAATATTCACTGCTAACCTCTGGATTCTATACTCGAAGACGACCGTCATGATGAATAACACTCATATCATCATCATCATCATCATCATCATCATCATCATCTGTCCCTTGGCAACTGCAATCGCATGAATACCACAACACAGTTTTTCCATCGGTTTAAAGTCGGACGAGCAAACTGGCCACTCCACATCATCAGTCCCTTATCACCAATCATCCGACTGCTTCAAACGTCCTGGGGGTCAGGGGTCGGGGCCGGGACCAGGGCAGAAGAAACAGAGAACCTCCTCCAGGATGATCTGTTGGCGGTGGCTCTCAGGGTTCCTCTATTGCTATGTCCGTCTACTCTATGGTGTTGTCTGCCCAAAGGGACAATCACAGTGCCTTTGATGGTCATCGTTTGCCGTTGACGTGGCGGATGATCTTCCGACGCTTAATAAGGATGAGGGGTGATTCCTCCTCTTCATCATCATTTTCTTGACCGTTCCCCCCTTCAACCCTCAGTTCCAAACCCCCCCCATAGCTTCCTCCAGGATGATCTGTTGGCTTCTCAAATTGCTATGTCCGTCTACTCTATGGTGTTGTCTGGGGGTCTTCACGTGTCAGCCATCAGGTGCCTGGGATGGTCTTGCAGGGGCTGTTAGTCATGTCATCTTTCGACGCTTAATAGGATGAGGGGTGACCTCTTCATCATCATTTTTCTTGACCTGTCCCCTTCAACCCTCAGGAGGTGGCTCCTCAGGATGATCTGTTGGCGGTGGCTCTCAGGAGTTCCTCTATTGCTATGTCCGTCTACTCTATGGTGTTGTCTGCCCAGCGTTTGCCGTCTTCACGTGTCAGCCATCAGCAGTGCCTTGCATGATGGTCTTGCAGGGTCTGTTATGCCCTGTGATGTCGCCAAACCATGTCATCTTCCGACGCTTAATAATAGCGAAGAAAGATTCCTGTCAGCCCACGAGACTTTTGACCTTGCTCTGCACATAATTATTGTAATGTTTACTAAAATAATTATTGTGATGGCGATCGTAACTTTCGAAAAACTGAGATCGTGATGCTTGTAATGTTGATTAGTTCGTTATGAGCCTCGGCAAAGAATCTCCTCGTCGTGCACGTGACATTCTTAATCTTCTAAATTACAACTAAGTTTTACATATTCCCTGTTGCCTCTTCGAAGCTGCCTTTAATAAATGTATCAGTCGTCTTTCTTTTTTTTTCTTTTTTTTTTTGTTTTGTTCCGTGTGCCACGCGAACCACAGACACTTGGCTACTCACTTCGATACCTTCATCACTAAGCCAGCTGTCAGCACGTACGGTAATGGAGGCCGGCCAAAGAGCAACATTACGAGAAATGAAGAATTTCACTTAGGAAAGAAAATGGAAAAGACAAAAGAGAAAATAGTGTCTCTCTTTTTACTAATTCGATTTACTTTATGAATTGGAAAATGGACAGACGAGATAAATAAAAAAGAATGAATAAATTGGTTAAAAAAAAGGATGGAATTATGCCCTCCACCTACAGCATAGCAAAAAAAAAAAAAAAATGGAATATCTTTTCTTTTTTTTCTTTTCCTTTTATGCATCCTAACGGGAATGTCACTTGATCTACGCATGCGCGATTCGTTTCCTGTCGTGTCGCCATTACAATTTGCTACATCCATTCCGGCTTTTGTTTTTTCTAATCATTATTTTTTTTATTAAATTCATTTTCTTCATTCATGCCTTCCTTTCAATCTTTAACAACTATTTATTCATTTCATTCTTTTTTTCCCCCCATTTTTCTTTTCATTTAGCGTTTTCCTTCTTGATTAAAGTTTCATTTCATTCCTTCTTTCACGTTTGCTTTGTAGGAGGATTAATGCTACGTAACATTTCAGAACTCTATTCTTTTGCCTTCGACGAAAGATGCCTTCCGACAACTAAGCAATGTATTAAGAAACAGGAACATTTCATTCGAAACAAAAAGAAAAAGAGTGCTAAACTAGTAAATCTATACGGCAGTAAAGCTGCCATATGGATTTAGTGAATGCTCCGCATAGATGAAGAAGAGACTTGAAGCAACGGAAATGTGGTTCTACAGAAGCATGCTGAGAATAGCATGGACCCCACATGTGAGCAACGACGATGTTTTAGAGAAAATGTAAACAAAAAGGACACTTATACTTAACATCGGGAAGAGAGAATACCATGGATGGAACATGAAGAAGAGACTTGAAGCAACAGAAATTTGGTACTACAGAAGCATGCTGAGAATAGCATGGACCGAACATGTAGGCAACGACGAAGTTTTAGAGAAAATGTAAACAAAAAGGACACTTATACTTAACATCAGAAAGAGACATTCTAGGGTACAGAATGAGGAAAGAGGGCATAGAAAATTTGACGCTCACAAGACAGATTGAAAGCAAAAGGAGTAGAGGAAACCAACGCTAACCCATCTAGAGTGCTTGAGCAAACAGTTTGTGGAAAACGGTCAAGGGGAGATAACAAAAAGCCAGAATTTAAGATCCACAAAGGAGAGGAAATTGTGGAGAGCCAGGATCGCCAACGTTCTCACACATAGAAGATATTTTCTATCTTTCTTTTTCTCGTATTTAGTATGTTCCCTTTTAAGTAGAGTTTTCTTTCTTCCTTTTTTTTTGTTTCTTTCTTTCCTTCTTTCACTTAAGTTTGCTTTCCTTATCTTTTTCTTTCTTTCCTTTTCTTTTCATTGTGTGATCTTTGGTCGCTTTCTTCGTTCCTTTCTTCGTTTCCATGGCAACAATCTATGCAAAGAATAAGATGAAAACGTAAACAAATGAGAGAACGAATTAATGAATGAACTCGAGGCAAATTTTTCTCCTCATCTGTCTTCTTCCTTTCCGGCGACAGATCTTGCGGCCTTGGTGCGAAATCTGAGACAAGTCTACGTTCGGGTTCACTGTGTTTCATTGTCACTTCGGTTTAGTGGGGCGCCATTTCTTGGGAAGCCTCTTTTGTACAAGACTAAAAAGAAAAGAAAAAAAAAAGATTTTGACAACTCAAAAAAAGAAAAAAAAAATGGAAAGAAAGAAAACATCAAAAAAATCCCCAAAATAATCGATGCGCTTAACAGATTTCGAGATTCCACGCTTTCTTTGGCACCGTCCTGAAAATGTCTTCACTTTTCTTAGTCCTGGATTTCTTTACTTTGTTCTGTTGTCTTCGAATTTCATTTTGTTCTGGTTTTCTTTCTTTTTTTTTTGTTTCTTTTTTTAGATTCCATCTTAACATTTGTTCATTAAGGTCTTTATTTTTTTGATTTCATTTTATTTTTACAAGTTTTCTTAATTTCTCCTAATTTCTATTTCTTTCATTCATTCTTTTTCCTTTTCTTTCTTTCTTTCTTTCTTTCTTTCAATTCCTTTTTTCTTTCTTTTTTTGTTTTTCTTTCCATTTCTTTATTTCTATGTCTTCTTTCTTTCTTTTTTCTTTATTTTTCAATTTCTCCTTTCTTTGTATTTCTTTCTCTTCTTTCTTTCTTTCCATTTCATTCTTTTCATTTCTTTCTCTTTCGTCCTTTCTTTCCAATTCTTTATTTCTATATATTCTTTCTTTCTTTCATTCCTTCTAAATTTCTTCCTATTTTTCTTCCTTCTTTTTTCTTTTTCTTTCCATTTCTTTATTTCTATGTCTTCTTTCTTTCTTTCTTTCTTTCTTTCTATTTTTTCTTTGTTCTTCAATTTCTCTTTTCTTTGTATTTCTTTCTCTTCTTTCTTTCTTTCTTTCTTTCTATTTCATTCTTTTCATTTCTTTCTCTTTCTTCCTTCTACCTTTCTTTCCTTTTCTTTATTTCTATCTATTCTTTCTTTCTTTCATTCCTTCTAAATTTCTTCCTATTTTTCTTCCTTTCTTTTTTCTTTTTCTTTCCATTTCTTTATTTCTATGTCTTCTTTCTTTCTTTCTTTCTTTCTTTCTTTCTTTCTTTCTTTCTTTCTTTGTATTTCTTCTTTATTTTTCAATTTCTTCTTTCTTTGTATTTCTTTCTCTTCTTTCTTGGGGTAAAACACGATGAAAGTATAAAAATAGGTTTTAATACCAGCAATACTTTTTCGGAAAATTTTTACCAGCAATACTATAAAGAATATTACCAGCAATACATTTTTGAAAAAAAAATAATACCAGCAATAAACATCTTGTTGGCATTAAATAACCAATTGAGGTTGATATGCCGTAAAACAAACCAAACCAAATCAAACCAAATGGCAGGGCGTATGATCTAGTTTTTAAAAAAATTAAGAAGGAAGTTATTTTATTATTTTTTTAAAGGAATATTGCGTTATTTCTTTTTGGTTTAAAAATCTTAGAAAGGTTAGCAATGGCATTCTAGAATAAGGTTAAAATTGGGGCATTAGGCAAATAAATTTGTGAACTACTGGTTAAATATTACCGTTACCTTCACCGTTATTATTACCAATAATTAATTAATTAATTATTAATAATCAATTTTACTGAATTCTTACTTTAAATGATCATTTATTTTTACTTATCTTCATTCGTTTTTTTTATTTTATTATTTTCTTTAAATATACCTTCTTATGTATTTTCTGCAATTCTATATTGTGCTAGCTATATGGGCAGTGGTAGGAACGTTTGCATTCTGACCATGCGATCCTGGTTCGAATCTCACCATGGTCGATTTGTCAGGAAGGAGATTTCCTGATGTTATTGAAATGGAGGGGTCGATCTCAGCATGCGGCACTTTTGGGAAATGAAAACCATACCACGGTTTGACCCAAGCCTTTTCAGTGAAATTGTTAGACGGAACACTTAGGGTAGGTCAATGGCTGTGCTAGCACAAAATCGCAAGTCATCGTGGCCGAGGGCTTGAGCGTACTAGTCTTATTCAAACTGTTGATCACGCTAGATAACACGCTCTTTCCCAGAAACTGTAACTAAGGTCTGCTCAGCATAGTTGCACTAAAAACCACAGGTGGGCTTTGTGGGTGTTGAATAAACACAAAATGCGCCTGAGCAAGCGTCTGCAAAAGGGATTGGCTAGCCGCGCTTATAGACGGGCATCCTCGAATACGAGTGCCCAGTTGTACTATATTATGTTAGTTTGAGTGTTTTTTTTCTTCTTTCTTCAAATCCTGTATTATTTCCTCCTCTTCTGACAAAAGAAAACAAAAACTCGTTGAAACTTACGAGGTATATTCTCAAAATGCAGCCAGATTAAAGATATTGAATGTGTCTCTGTCGTAAAGAAGATCGGGACAATTCCTTAAGGAACCAAAAAAAAAAAAAACTGATAAAGTTATAAATACAAATAAAGTAAATAAAATAAAATAAAATAAAAGTAAAATAAATAAATAAATAAATAAATAAATAAGGACTCTACCAGATAAAAGACGTGACCTCTGACCTTACTTCTCAAACTCCATCACACCACACCAATACCTGTCAGTCTAACTCGCCAGTCTATCCTGCAGGCCTACTTAGCTACGGTAGATTGTCTATGACGAACCGATAAAGAGAATTTCAGTTCAAAGCGCTTTTGAAAGTCGTGAATACACATCTGCGCGTACAGGCTCATTCTACTTATTCTTCTTGGCTTACGGCCACACTATGCTGAAACACCAGTTACCAAAGTGAGCAATGTTGAGTCTGGTCAGTATCTAAATGGGTGACCGCTTGGAAATGCCAGGTGCTGTAAGCTTGAATGTGCTGGTGGTGTAATGGATAACGGATCGGAATTGTTAATCGCAGAGCTGAGTTCCGATACGATCACGGAAGTTAAGCAACATCCAACCTGGTCAGTACCTAGATGGGTGACTTCTTGGAAATACTAAGTGCTGTAAGCTTAGATGTGCTAGTGGTGTAATAAATAACGGCTCGGAAGTGTTAATCGGAGTTCCGAGTTCCGATACGATCACCGAAGTTAAGCAACATCCATCCATGTTAGTACCTAGATGGGTAGCTGCTTGGAAAAACCAGGTGCTGTAAGCTTGGATGTGCTGTCGGTGTAATGAATAACGGCTCGGAAATTTCAATCGGAGATCCGAGTTCCGATACGACCACTGTTAAGCAACGTCCTACCTGGTCAGTCCCTAGATGGGTGACTGCTTGGAAATACCAAGTGCTGTAAGCTTGGATGTGCTGATGGTGTAATGGATAACGGCTTGGAATTGTTAATGGGAGAGCCGAGTTCTGATCCAGTCACCGAAGTTAAGCAACACCTACACATGTCAGTACCTAGATGGGTGACCGCTTGGAAATACCAAGTGCTGCAAACTTGGATGTGCTGATGGTGTACTGGATAATGGTTCGGAATTGCTAAACGGAGAGCCGAGTTCCAATTCCAGTCTGAGTATATTCGCTTACACACAAGTATCCTTGAGAGATGTATGGACGTACCTCTTCTCCTCAACTATGGGTTAATTAGTAAGGCTATTATTATCTCCTCTCCCTCCAAGATTTCTTCTTCTTTTTCTATGTACCGTGTCAGTTCAGGACGTGGGTGATCATGGCTCTCCATAATTTCCTGTCCTTTGTAGCTCTTAATAAAATATTTTTTTTGGTATCGCTCCTCTGTCTCTTCTGCTTTCAATCTGTCCTGTGAGTATCAAATTTTCCAAACCCTCTTTCCTTATTATGTACTCTAAAAATTTCATCTCTTTCTGAGGTTAAGTACAAGTTAAACTTTATCTTTGCTCACGCGTTCGTTAGCCAATCGGAGAAGCAACCATCTGGATTAGTAAGTGATACTGACTAGAAATTAGAAATGCATGTGGCTACAGCATATTTTGCAAGAACGCTGATTCCAGTGGCAGTGAAGTAATGACGATTTACAAAATAAAACTAATCTACAACGATTTACAAAGCTACAATCTCATTAATAGTCACATCAATCACAGCGTTTCGGCCGTTGTACGCTCCGGCCTTCTTCAGGTGGTTGGAATGTCGAACTGAACCCGTTATTTCGCTCGCTGGGGTAGACGTGCAATGTCTAATGGATGAAGAACACATGGCACAGTGGATAAAGGCGTTCGTCAGTGACAGAGTTCAATACCCGGTTAAGGCAGTGGAGAACTTCCAGAGGGAAAATTAACAGGAGATAACTGATAACTGACATTCATTAGACATGGCACGTGGAACTAGAACAATCTACCCCAGCGAGCGAGCGAAATAAAGGGTTCAGATCGACATTTCAACCACCTGAAGTAGGCCGGAGCGTACAAACGGTCGAAACGTTTTGATAAATATGACAACAAAAATGAGGACAATAGTCCGAATAATGTAAATTGTATACATAATACCTCATCTCAGAAATATAGACAGATACTGAAAGGCTGAAACGTTTTCATAAATATGGCGACAAAGATGAGGACAATAGTCCGAATAATGTAAATAGGTATATAATACAGAAGTATATACAGATATTGAAAGGCCGAATAAATATGTAAATAGTCCGAATAATAAATAATACCTCATCTCAGAAAATATAGACAGATACTGAAAGGCCGAAACGTTGTAATAAATATGGCGACAAAGATGAGGGACAATTATCCGAATAATGTAAATAGTGTATAATACCGCATCTCAGAAGTATATACAGATATTGAAAGGCCTAAACGTTGTAATAAATATGGTGACAAAGATGAGGACAATAGTCCGAATAATGTAAATAGTGTACATAATACCTCATCTCAGAAATATAGACAGATACTGACAGGCAGAAACGTTGTAATAAATATGGCGACAAAGATGAGGACAATTGTCCGAATAATGAAATAGTGTAAATACCGCATCTCAAATATATTGAAAGGCCTAAACGTTGTAATAAATATGGCGACAAAGATGAGGACAATAGTCATAATGTAAATGGGGTACATAATACCTCATCTCAAATAGACAGATATAGAAAGGCCCGTTGTAATAAATATGGCGACAAAGATGAGGACAATTGTCCGAATAATGTAATAATGTAAATAGTGTATATAATACCTCATCTCAGAAACTAGCGCTCGAACTATTCACAGTTCACTGTTCCTGAAACATTCTCTCTTACTAATCTTATACTAGGCGGAAGAGTCTAACTTAGAATATTTAGAGGGAGGACACCACTACATTATTATTATTTATGGTTGCAATAGTATTTCCTCTTCTTTCTTCTTCTCCTCTTCCTTCTTTTTTTTTTCTTCTTCTTCTTGTCTTCCTTCTTCTTTTTCTTCTTCTTCTTCTTCTTCTTCTTATTATTATTATTAGAAGTAGTAGTTGTAGTAAGATTCTCATATTCAATTATTATTATTATTATTATTTGTTGTTGTTGTCGCAGTAGTATTTCCTGTCTGTTCTTCTCTTTCCTTCTTGCTCTGCTCCTAATGATTAGTAATAGCAATGATAGTAGTAAAAGTATTAGTAAGGCTTTCTTATTCACTTTATTAATATTATTATTATTTTAGTAGTAATAGTATTAGTAACAGTAGTAATGCAATTCCCTCTCACTTCTTCAAATTCTTCTCATAATCTTCCTCTTTCTCCTTCTGCTTTGAAGATGGACATGATTAAGAAAGACAAAAAAAATGGCGTGGATTACGATCTAATACCGCATCTCTGCATTTAATATTTGATTTCCATTTTCAGTGGAGTGAGAAGAAACACATCTTCTGTCGCCGTTTGTAAACGTAAAAATGATAAAGCCAGTGCAATAGATATCCAAGTAGGGAGAGAAACGTTACTTAAAGCTACAAAGGAAAGTAAGTTTCACAAAGCCCTAATTACCCAACTGTTGTGACCAAGTAAATGGTTAAGTAGTAACAAAAACCACGTTTGCAGTTATATCGTATATTAAACAGTAAGTACAACAGTAGATTATGACGTGACTAGTGAGTGTGTGTCGTATAAACAAGCGCTCAATCTATTCACTGTTCATCGAAGCTTACTTTTCTTATAATAGGCGGAAGAGTCTAACATACACTCTTTAGAGGGAGGACACCACAACATTAAAGTGTTCTCACCTCTCTCTCCCAGTAACCTCTTGCGTCTTAGTGGCATTATCGCCATCTTCTGTCTTCTTGAAACCTGTTCTTTTATTTTCCTTTCTCCTCATTAAATGTTGCGACCATGGAATTAGTTAAGTAATAAGAAAAAACAGGTTTGCAGATATATCATTTATTAAGCAGTAAGTACACCACAACACGACTAGTGAGTGTGTGTCGCATGAACCAGCGCTCAATCCATTCACTGTTAATATTTAACAGCCCCCCCCCAGCTCGAGGGATGTATGTGGCACAAGGCCGAGTTTACCTTGGGTTCTCCGAGCCCGTAGGCTCGGCAAAAAATATTCCCTTAGAACCTGTATAAACGGGTTCAGGGTCTCTTAACCCCCCTCCCCCCAGGACGAAACTTTGCCCTTTGGCAAAGCCTCGTCCGGGTTCCTCTCTGCTCAAGGCAGAGAGTTCGACAGTAATGAACAATTTGGCACTGTTAATATTTAACAGACCCCTCACGACGGATGTATGTGGCACAAGGCCGGTATATTGTGGGTTCTCCGAGCCCGTAAGCTCGACCAAAAATATTCCCTAACAAGCCTCATAAACGGTTTCAGGGACTGTCTACGTCCCCGGACAAAAATTTTCCCTGCGGCAAAGTCTCGTCCGAGTTCCTCCCTGCCGAGGCAGAGAGTACGACAGTAATGAACAATTTGGCACTGTTCCCCGAAACCTTCTCTCCAACTAATTTTATAGTAGGCGGAAGAGTCTAACATAGAATCTTTAGAGGGAGGGCACCACAACAGTTATTAATACAGTGTTTTGGCCGTTTTGCCGTTCATCAGTTGAAGTAAACGCATTATTTAGTCTTACGGAGATAGATCGTTATAGTTCCGATGACCTACTCGTTTATTGTTGGCTGTTTTCATTGAGACTCAGTCTGTATTACACGGACCCGGGATTGAAATCGCTCTTTAAATGTTACGAAACAATGCTTTAATCCACTAGGCTATTGTTTAGTGGGACAATCCTGAGTATAGAACTAGATCAAACAGCTGCCGCTGCAACTTGTCAAGCAGGAGTGGATTCACCGAGGCTTATGGTTTCTTTTGTGACCGCTGCGGCTGATGTTGAATGTGTAAACAAGGATAACTCCTCATCCGAAAAATTCAATGATTTTTAACGACAGTTCTCAAAAGATCACCGAAGTTAAGCAATGTTGAATTAGAAATCGGAGAGCTTGTTAAGGAGAAGGGTTTACGGGCATATCACATTAAAACTACAACGGTTCTCAAAGATCACTGAAGTTAAGCAATGTTGAACCTGGTCAGTAAGTAGATGGGTGACCGTTTTGGAAATACCAGGGGCTTTAAGCTTGCATGTGCAGTCGGTGAACTGGAAAATCGGAGAGATAGTTAAGGCGAAAAAGAAAAAAGTTACGAATAATTAGTAAGACAATGGAAAGGGAGATTGTTTAGGAGAAGGTTTTACGGACATATCACGTTGAAACAACAACAGTTCTCGAAAGGTCACCGAAGTTAAGCAACGTTGCACCTGGTCAGTAATTTGATGGGTGACTGTTTTGGGAATACTAGGGGCTTAAACTTGGAAATACGGGCGGTGAATTGGAAATCGGAGAGATAGTTTAGTCTACTTAGAGCAAAAAAAAAAAACCCCAAAAAACCAAAAAAAAAACAAAAACAGATGTTGTAGAGAGCCATGAGCTACTAAATTTTGAGCGGATATGACGCATAATGTTAAGGTCTAGGCTGGGTGCACCGAAGAAAAAGTTTTAATGAGAGGCGCGCTTTTCTCTGGCGTTAATTTCCATCATGGCGGAAAGTGGCTCATTATTTACGATTTCGACAAATCTGCCTTGAGTGTGCGCTAATTTTGATAATAAGGATTGTTCTTCAATATTTTATTAGTAGCAATGATATTAGTAACACAATCTTTGGGTTTAATCTTTCATAACCAGACCGACTCGCTAGCTACAAGATTTACGCCGTCGGCACTCAAACCTGCTGTTCGGATGCGAGTAATATTTTTATCTTATTTTAGATGCGAGAAGTGCGTCTTAAAGCGAGGCAAATGCAATTTAAAAAAAAAAAAGCCTGATTGGTGTTTGATCGAGGAGCGACCATTGGTCGGTTTTGAAACTCATTTGAAATGGAAATATTTATATTGATGGTTTACATGCTAGATAAGATATTTAGAAAAGAAAAACTTGGGAAAGTTATCTCTCTATCTATCTATCTATCTATCTATCTATCTATCTATGTATCAATTTCATTCCATTCATATCTATGTATTTCAGTGTGTTCATATCTATCTACCTACATATCTCCGCATGTTATTGAATCTACCCTATTGTCTTCTCTCTCTCTCTCTCTCTCTCTATATATATATATATATATATATATATATATATATTTATATATATATAAGTCTGTTTCTATCTATCTATCTATCTATCTATCTATCTATCTATCCATCTATCTATCTATTTCAATCAACGCATTAAAAAGTACTACCCTACCAAGCGCATGCGTACAGGCGTTGATAATACCTTCTTGAAAATGGCTCCACCTTTTTGACCCTCCGAATTCGCCGCAACATTTGAGGCGCTCATTTCTTCCCTTGGGTTGTGTCTAATTATCAGCTACTTGAAAATTTAAATTGCAGTTTGAAATTAATGATGAAGATGAAATTAGATTTTATAAAACAGAGGAGGAAGGCAATGGACGAGGATGATGAACTGGCGCAAGAAAGGAAGAGAACGAGAAATGAAGTGAGGGTGAGGGAGAAAGAGAGAAAACAAACAATAAAAGAAAGAAAGAAAAAAGAAAAGAGGAAAGAAAGGAAGGCCAAGGCTATATATATATATATATGTATGTATATATATGTATATATATATATATATGTATGTATATATATGTATATATATATATGTATGTATATATATATATGTATATATATATATATATATATATTTGTATATTTAGGCAGCAATCCTTCCTTTTTATGCATGTTTCATTAAAAACGACAGACAAGGTACTACAGTTGAGCTTTTTATTTAATTTTCTTGTGTTCTGACAAGAGCTTTTTTTTCTGGACAAAGAGTGTGTAAGAACTGTCCGAATGTTCTGTGTTTCCGAGCGCTTTCAGCTATACCTTTAGCCATAATCAAGGATGGTTCAATTATCAGTTTAGTAGAGTGTGTGTTCTATGTATGTTCAGTGTGTGGTAGTGATGTTTTAGTTTCCGAATACGGTTAGCACATTGTGGCTTTGTTCATAGTTGATATTGTTAAGAGTTGGCTTTTTTCTTTTTTTATTATTAGAGCTTCCATTATTTTTTAGTCTTTTTTTGCAAGTGGATGCAGTTAATATATTAGTGTTTTTTACTAGTATGTTCCTAATAGTGTCAGGTAAATCTGAGTGTGTGTTTAAATGTGTTCTGATGGAACTGTGATCAGATAGGTGTAATGTAAGACGTCTGGATAAACACGTGGTTGTGTAGCCGATGTAATTATTTATGAGTCCGGTTTGGTGAGGAACGCAGTTCCTTAAAGGGCATTTGAACTCATAGATAATGTTCGCTCTTTGTAATTTTGACTTCGTTGGTGTGTTGTTATTTTTTTGAGGATAAGGTTGGCCGTCTTAAATTTTTTTATAATAGATAATAAGTTTGATTTTTTTTATCCGGGTCAATAGGAGTAGTATATTTCTTTATAATATGTCTTAGAGCAGATTCATCTTGCTTTGTAATTAATATGCATTTGGTTTTTTGTAATAAATGTGTATGTGATTTTTAGTTGTGTGTTCGCTATCATTATTACTTGCTTTGGGGAGGAATATTCTAATTTGTTGGTCTATAAGGTAGTTAGCAAGTTGAACACCTGCAAAATTGGAAAACAGAGTTTTTTTTTTTAATATTAAACATCATGAGGTATGGCCAATTATGCTGTTACGCCTGGTATATATATATATATATATATATATATATATATATATATAAAGTGAACATTGAGTCAACACTCAGAGGCGACAGGACACCTGACGATTGCGTTCAGCATGAAACAGGCTATCGCCTCTAAGTGTTGACTTTTATATTTATATTTACACACGCTATGTCTCTGATATTGAGCACTTTATCCCATAAATATAGCACACCTTAAAACTATATGTCTTCATATATATATATATATATATATATATATATATATATATATATATATATATATATCCTAAAATGAAATGATGGCGGATGAAGGAAAAAAAATGGCTGAACAGGGCTTAGATGTGCTGAAGCAATAATGGTTGCCGTGCTTATAGTACGAAATAGAGATCAGAGAAAGAGAGAGAGAGAGAGAGGGAAAGAGAGAGAGAGAGAGTTGGGGTGGGAGGATGCAGTTGACAGGGTAGCGGTGAGAGAGAATTGAAAAATTGGAGTCTTCTATAATAATATTTAATTTCCTTCAGTTATCAATGATCATTTTCAATATTTATTTTCGAAGCACGTAGACCTTTCGGGGAGAATCAAGCAGAATTTGGCAGGTAGAACAATTTGTGAGACTTACAGGGACATGCAAAAGTATCTATCTATCTATCTATCTATCTATCTATCTATCTATCTATCTATCTATCTATGCATTCCAGTCTGTTCATATCTATCTATCTATTTATCTAAGTTGGCCTGCTCACATCTATCTTTCTACTTTTCGCTCTCTCAGTCTCTTCACATCTATCTATCTATCTTTTTTTACAATCTGTTCATTATCTATCTAATCGCACACACACGGACACACACACACACACACACACACACACACACACACATATATATATATATATATATATATATATATATATATATATATATATATAACTATCTATCTATCTAACATCTATCTTTCTATTTTCTACTTTTCGCTCTCTCTCTCAGTCTGTCCACATCTATCTATCTATCTATCTCAAGCTGTAAAAAGCTATTTATTTTTTTCTATCTATCTATCTATCTATCTATCTATCTATCTATCTATCTATCTAAGGTAGCCTGTTCATCTATCATCGTATTTTCACTTTCTCCTCTCTCAGTCTCTTCATCTATCTATCTATCTATCATCTCATCTATCTATCTATCTATCTATCTATCTATTCATATCTTGGCCTGTTCTCTATCTATCTATCTATCTATCATATCTATCTTAGCCTGTTCACATCTATCTATCTATCTATCTATCTATCTATCTTCTATCTATCTATCTATCTTATTGGTCACTCATCTATCTATCTATCTATCTATCTATCTATCTATCTATCTATCTATCTTATTCTGCTCATCTTTGTCTATATAACGCTGTTTCTATCTAGATATAGATGCTTGAGATATTAGTCCACATGCCAATATACATGTACACTGACAAACACACGCACACAACTCGCACACACAAACACTCTCATACACATATAAATATATATACGCATATACATATCTCCCTCACGCATACCTATCTCAGCACATATGCATTTGATATGTCAATGTGTATCAGTTGATGGCTGCAAAACGAAATACATTAATGGACTGTACTATTTACGGCAAATCAATGTACACTCAAATATTGAATTAAGGAGGGTTTAGAATCTCCAAGAGAATCATCATGAATGTTTTTCTTGTTCTCTATAGATCGTTTTCCGGCAAACACAATCCATCATCTACAGTTGTATTTTTTGTGTACAGAGAAGGAGAAGCTAAAATAACTCAAAGCCTCGCTTTCATCATCAAATGTTAACTCAGCGTATAAAGCCTCCGATAGCAAACTTCTTGTTCGACACAAGGTCGATATTTGATTAACGTTGATTGTCTGGTCATAGTTCTATCTCCTTCATGGAAGAATAATCAATAAAATATTGCCGTAATCACCAGAAAAAAAAGGACCCTTAAAACTTATTGGGTTGTTGGGGCACTGGAGATAGTCCTTTACTCGTCTGCGTTCTAAGAGATGACCAAGGGTTAAGTGTAGAGACTATTCTGAGAGAATTAGGTGTGAGAGTTGACTACATCGTCCAATTTTATTCTTCTATTTGCCTTTCTTCGTATTCAAAGTTTATCCAGTATATGGAATGACAGCCCTCAGTGTAAAAAAACTACTGTCAAAATATGATTAGTTGGGTAATTAATAATCGCACATAAATTTCCAGCATACTAAATTGGTCGTTAGTAAATAAAAGATAAACGTGTACACACACACACACACACACACACACACACACACACACACACACACACACACACACATATATACATATATATATATATGTGTGTGTGTGTGTGTGTGTGTGTGTGTATATAAATATAAATAAATATATATATATGTATAATTATTTATATATTATATGCGCGGTACTTATTAGAAAGCGCTCAATATCAGAGATAGAGCTAACATATTTGGTTGGATAGATGTGAGTTTGTGACCCTGGGTTTCACGTTTTAGCGATCGTCAGACTAACTGATTAATGTTTTTAAAAATTTGTGTTTATGTAGATTGCGTGTATTGGTGTTATTGTGGAAGTGGTGGGGGATATTTCGTCGTTTTGTCATTCATCGTACTAACGCAAACATCGATGTATGCAGACACATATACATACTTGGTCGTCCGTCGGGACTCATACATATATAAACATAGGTGGGCAGTTTCGGCTATGACACATGTATGTATACGGGTGGTGTTATGTCTATACATACGCATTTGTATGTTGAAATGTTGAAATTTAAACATTGGAAGTGTGGCGGGAATGTCTCGTTAATGTCTCGTGAATGTATACATGTCATATTATGTATTTTTCCGCTGATTTTTTGTTTAGTAAGTACTTTTAAAACACCAACAACCACTTTTTATTAAAAGAAAAGCTCAAACCACCACTACCTACCACCACTATAACTACATTCTCCCACCACCGTTACTAATCATTTGTATCAATTTACAATTTCTACCAATTTACAATAACTATTAGCTAACTATCCTTGTCTCCAATCCCTTGAAACATTACTATCACATCATATCATATAGACCCGTTATTAAATTGAACTACCCTCTCACCCAACACATTGAATATTAAACATCACCATATAAATTAACCGATAAGGATTACAAATTTTTACCTGTTACATATACACAGTCACCAAAATCAAACAAATAACCAGTTTTAAATATAACAAATAAACCCCCATTTTTTTTTTCAAAATTTAAAAATAAATATAAATAATAATAATTTTTACCTATCATAATTTTACACAAACCCCACCACACGTATATAAATACATGCGAGGAAATATTTTTCAGCGGAAAAAAGAATGTTAACAACAAATAATTTTTCACACCCAACCCAGTTCTGCGGAATCGGAATCAACGTTGAGTTTAAGCAAGCAGATAGCCAATTGGCGTAAAGTGCCATGCAGATTTAAATTTTCTCACTTCAGACGAATGCAGCTATCGATTTTTTTTTGCATGCTAGCATGCTAGTTAACATTCGTGTCAGTCAGCTGTTGGCTCTCACACTGGCCAATAGAATCTTCCTGCCTATTCGTGGCAGCCAGCTATAAGCTCTCACTCTGGCCAGTAGAAAATGGCCGCAAACTACATGAAAACTGCCGTAGAAGCATGAAAAATCGATTATTACCACTATCGATGTGAGTTGGGAAATGCAAAGTCGGTGTTGGGCTTTCCGCTAACTTGGAGCATGTGCATGTAAATTTTGTTGCAAATCCGTCGAAAATTGCGGCCGTGCATTCGTTACACACACACACACACACACACACACACACACACACACACACACACACACACACACACACACACACATCCTGTCTTTGTTAGATAGAGATATAAATATTTATATATCTTTAAAAATAACGTATAAACAGAAAATATTATAAAACCATTTCCGGACTTAATCCATTTCAAATTATGTTGTCATTGTTTACGTTAAGGTGCGTTTCGTGAACAGATATGACACTTTCTTTTATGTGCCATGTCCTTTCAGGACGTAGGCGATCATGGCTCTCCGCCTCCCTCTATCCCTTGCAGCTCTCAACAAGTTCCTTTCCTTCTCTCAGACTGTACGTATTGAAGATTAGAGAGGCAGAGAGATACGACTACTTAACAAGCTTGTTTAAATGAATGAAAGAAGAATTGTGGGTAGACAAAAGTTACTGAGGGCTACAGAAGATAGGAAGTTGTGGAGAGTCATGATCGCCTACGTTCTGGAGACGGCATGTAGAAAACGAAGAATCTGAGTTGTAGAAACCAAGTGAATTTTTATTTGTTTTGATTGTTGTTGTTTTTGTTGTTGTTGCTGTCAGTCGTCGTCGTCGCAGCCTTGTAGCCGGAAGGATAACATGGTTACTGGCAGGAGTGTTGGGGACTTCCCGTCTGCCTATGACATTACTGTTAATCGGGGAGTCGGACGTCTGATTGGATCTCCCCAAAGAGAGTGTTCTCCTTCGTCTTGCCTTCTGGCGAGTGAACGCAAGGCGAGACTACACATGCATACACACGTTGTTCTTTTACCGCAAGCCAGCCAGCCAGCCACGAACACTCGAGGAACACACACGCCGACGAAGACACACAGGCAGAAATGCGGTTGTAACAAACGAAAGACGCACACATACAAACACGCACATATCTTCCTGCATATAAAGTCTAAAACCCCAAAACGATTCTTTCATGACTGCAGACACACACATATTGATACGCACATACACACAAGAAGACGCATAAAAAGATTTTTTGTAAATATGTACACACGCTCTCGGAACTAACGAAATCTACACAAAAATAAGCGTACTCACAAACATTAGGACATAATAGCGTACACACACATACACAGACAAACACACACACACATATAAACACACAAACATAAATTATACGCAGTTAAACATTCACAAGCACATACATATACACATTCCGAAAGGCACATAAACCACATATACCCAACACACGTTCACGCAAATACCAACAAACACCCCGACTACACAACCAGATATATACTTACGGACACACCGAGAAATTCACAAGCACCCCCAAAATGTCCGCACAAAAATATATATATATATATATATATATATATATATATATATATATATATATATATTTTTAAGCATTACGCCCTGAGCAAGGGTTGAAGCCACTAGGATGCAGGGGTTGCAGAAGATTTGGAGCAAGAGCAGATAGGAATGATAGAAGAAAGGAGGAGGAGAGGGATAGTGGATAGATCAAAGGTAACTGGAGATGTCGATTGACATTACATTTGAATAGTTGGAGATTATAGCTCTCAGGGAAACAGTAATTGGGAAGGGTGTTCCACAGGCGAGAGGTGCGAGGTATGAAGCTATTGGAGTAGAAGAGACCTCTACATTTGAAAGTTTCTACAGTGTAAGGGTGGGAGCGGGATGCCAGCCTCGTAGGGCGCTTGAATTCATGAAGTCTAGGAACCAGTGAAAGCAGCTCATCGGAGCAATTATCATGAAAGTATTTGTAAAAAAGTCAGAGAGAGGCGACGGCGCGTCTGTGAGAGAGTGACTGTAGACGAGATGCCAGATCAGGGCCAATTAGATTACATATCCGTATCTGGATCTTGTCAAGAACTCCGAGGTAAACAGAAGGTGCCCCAGACCATATATGGCAGCAATACTCCATGCAAGGGTGAATGGTTGATTTGTATATTTGAAGTATCGATTCCAGGCAAAACAATCACACCAGTATTTATATTTACACTTATATATGTACACGTGATAATATATACATACACAAGTACACCCCCCATGTAAATACAAACAGACACACGTATTACATAACACCTCAACAAAGTCATCCAGCCCCTCCTACCATCATGTTTTAATAATTTTACCCCAAGCAAGGCAAAAGCCACTAACCACGCAAGGAGTTACTAGAGTGTGAGAAAATATGAGAAAAAGTGAACATTATTAATGTCAGACAATAATAAAAGAACAAGAATTAAGAAGACAGAAGATAACGATTGACATTGCACTTAATTTTTTGAAGATCAAAAACATGAAGCCGGAAGAGAGTTCCACAAGCGAGAAGTACGACAAAAATATTTTATCATAAAACTTACGGTTACATCTAGCTATCAATTCTACATTTAAAATACAAAGGATCTGCGGTCCATGTAACATAAGGGCAACCTTCAAAAGCTGAACGACAATTCACAGATATCTCTCCCGGAAGGTCTAAGCAGCTCTATTTTCATAGCACTGCCTAAGAAACCAGACGCAAACGATGTCGATGTTATAAAGATTACTATTTCATTTCCATACCTCCGTTTTAGATAT